ATTCCTGCTTAAACCCAAACCTAAATGTCTCTATAAATATATCAAAATGAAATATCACTTTACCTGCCCATTGAGATGAGATCTTTAACACACTTGTATGCCTTCCAATCCTTCCCAACACCCACCAAGTCATGGACTTGGTTAAAATAATATGAAATTTTAGTTTGGTCCTTTAAATTTTCCTTAAGAACAGATGTAGTGACACACTCTAGGGTGACCACCCAATGAGTCACACCCTTATATAACTCCCTCCTCTTGAGTGTGAGCTTCTAATCAATAGCATTTGGCGAAGGTTAAGAGATTCTGAAGATGCTGCTACAGTATCTAATCAGTTGACTCTGAGTTAACCTTAGGTGGGCCTGACCTAACTAGGTGAGACCTTTAAGAGGGTTCAGGCCTCTCCTGGCTTTCAAGAAACAGAATGTCAAGAATTCTACAGCTGAAAGGATATGAATTCTGCCAACCACTTGAGGGGACTTGGAAGCTGATCCTTCCCTATTTAAGCCTCAGATGAGAGCTCAGCTCATCCAACACCCTGATTCCAGGCTTGGGTTCCAGACCTTGAACAGGGAATCCATTAATCCATGCCATGCCTGTTAGATAATAAAAGGGTGTTGCTTTAAGCAACTACCTTATAATAATTCACTATGCAGCAATAATAATTAATATAGTAGGCATGTCTATTTTTTCAAGAGACTTTTCTTTACCATTAAATTAGTATTTACAATCATATGAATGTCACCTATTTAGGTTCATCCCCGCATGTAAAGAAGTCTGCTCAACCCTTTTCCTCCTGTTCTCCATCATCCCCTATCTGGTTATCTTTGCTCTGATTTAGTTCCAATTTGATGAGAATACCTTGGAAAATAATTTTCTTAGAGAGGGTACATGGTGTTATGTTTTCTGTATCCTTAAATGTACAAAATGTCTCTCTTTACCCCTCAAATACAAATGAACCTTTAACAACCAGACATTTTCACTGAAAAATCTAAAACACTCTTTACTGTTGTTTAGCTTCATTTTAGAGAAGAGCAGTTCAGTGCTGATTTGATTCTTTCTTTTGTGTGTAACTTGTACTCACTATGAAGAATCTTGTAAAAAATATTCTCAGTATTCTTGGATTTGGAAATTCTACCAGGAAATTGCAAATTACGTATCATCTCCCTCATTAATCCTCTGGCATTTTGTAAGCCCATTCTATTTGAAAATTTCAATTTTCTTCATCTCATAGACTTCTCCCTAGTAGGTGGTTGATTCTGGTTTTATTTCCATGTGTTCTTTCTTCTTCCACAACATCCATCATGCAGATGAAACATATCTCTTCATCTTTTCTCCACATTTCCTGTCTTTTCACTCACCGTTTCCATTCCCTCATATTTTTACTTCTATCATGACATACTTCCTCCTTTTGTTTTTCCAGATCTAAATTCAATTTTGAGTGGTATACATTACGTTTGTTTTTTAACTTCCCTTCTTGAGTGTTTAGAGTTGTGGGGTTTGTTGCAATTTTGTTTTTACTTCCTAGATTTTGTCCCCCTTGTTGAGTTGCTGGTACAGGCTCCCTGGACTGGCCAGGCTTGAGGTTGGCAACCTCAGGCAGAGGGAGATGATACTGGAGATTGTCCTCCAGTGCTGGACAGGCCACAGTCAAATTAGCCCTGTCTACATGGCCTCCCAATTTGGGGTTCTCAAGGTTCTCCAGGTGTGAGCAGGAGCTCATTCACACACACACACACAAAGGACCAGCTCGGCCCAACTGCATCCTCTTAGAGGGCAGCCAGGATCCATGAGATCAGGAGAGCCCTTTGCCTCGTAGAGTCAAGTGCAGCACATTATAGCATGTTTTCCCTCTCTATAAGCTGAAGGGTCTTTTGGGCTCAGCTGGTCATCGAGTCCTCCGTTCTCTCCAGAACCCTATCCCCTAACCCTGTGGTACACAAAGGCTCCCAGCACCGCATCCTTTTCTCAGAAACCCACATCCTCAAATGTGTCTGAGATCCCCTCCAGGATCTTGAGTCATCTCGAGTCCACTCTACCTTCTTGAGTCATCCACAGCAGGGCGTCTGTAACTGACGGAGAAAGGTCACAGAAAGACAGAAGGGGTGGAACAAGGAGCATATATGGAAGGGTTAACCTTGAGCAGAATGGGGAGCATGTGATCAGGTAATAAGGAAGACAATAAAATTTGAGTGGCTGTGATTGCAGATGAGTTTGTAGGACAGGGTTTCTCAAAAGGTGCCACAGGGCCAGCATATCAACATCATCTGAGAACTTACCAAAAATTCAAATTCTTGGGCCCTACCCTAGATAGGGGTGGGGCCCAGCAAACTATGTTGTAAGAAGCCCACCAGCAGATTCTAACACATGCTCAAGTTTGAGAACCATTGCTCATTGGAAAACTAGAGAAATCTGAAAATGTTTACAAATGATAACCACTCTTTCTTTCCATGAAGATGGACGTGAAATTTGTTATATCCTATGAGTGAGTGATTTAATATGAGGCTTGGGGAAAGCAGCAAAATTCAGGAATACTCCTTGAGAAAAATGGAAGAAGTAGGTAAACAAAGCCAGGATCACAGCCCATGAATTTGTGGAGTCACTAGTGGGTCATCATATACAGTTTCATTTTTTATTTCTTGGTCATGATAGCCTGAGCAACGCTTCAAAGCCAGGAACATAAGAGGCAAATTCAGAGTATACCCAATTAATAATTTTGTCATTCATAAAGATGAAATTTACTCCATAAAACTCTATCATAAACTAAAGAATTTTGGAATTTAAAATTTGGAAGCACATCCACCACTACTCATTCTGTCATTGAAGAATCTCAAAATCTCTCAGTAAGCATTACTGCCCTTTCTTTAAACAGACAAAATAAAGACAAGTCAGTTGAAAAGGTTTATATCCATGGTCATCAGTAATCCAATGGCACAATGAGGATGAGCTACCTAGGTCTCCTAATTCATTGCTCCTTTATTCTTTCCAGACTTGAGTGGACTCCCTATTTTTCAATGCTCTGATCTACCTAGAACTGAAATCCATGTGGATGAAGCCAGCACATCTGTCCTCATGGGAATTGGCGGAGTTCGGCTCTAAATGGGCATTATAGTCCATGAGAAGCATCAGATGTGCCAAACATAAAGCCAAGACCTGACCCAGCTTCAGCCCCTCCATCCAGGGGCTAGGTCAAGTTCATCCATGTGCCCTACAAACTCTTGAGGCTCACCAGAAAGACCTCTAAATAAAGGTGGGTCCATGCAAAGAGAAGCAAAGTCGGCTACAATGTGAGGTCACTGGCAGATGGATGGTATCAAGTAAGCGGTGGTGGGAGAAAGAGGTTAAGTGAAATGGCTATAAATAGAGCCCTCAAAAGCATTACAAAAATCTACACCAGCCCGGGAGTCGTGACTTAAGAGAAGTGCGCGCAAATTAGTTGATGACCCGGCGCCCTGCCACAGCGGCGGCTTAGGGTGTCAGGGCTCCAATAAAGCCACACCAGTGAGCCTGCTGGGGAGGAGATGGAAGGGCTTTCAGGACCATGCTGGCTGGGCTCCTGAGGGCTGACACTACCACCGCTCCGATTACTGTCAGGCCTTTTTTATGAGTTCACGCACGTAAGGACTTAAAACAGGGTCTGAGTGTGATAAACACTCGGTGAATGTCAGCTGTTTATCCGGAGTGACTCTGACACATGTCCACTCAAATGAACTAAATGCCTCCCTTTTAATGACTCATTTAATGAGAATGAACTTTTTTTCGCCAACACGTGAGACTCCACTTGCCTCCTCCACCAAAAAGCATGGCATCCTCTCCTCGTCCAGCAAGCACTGCTTTCCTCCCCCCGGATTCCATGGCTGTGTCCTCTGACCTGTGTCTGAAAGTCCACTTAATATCATCAGCTTTTTACACATTCGACAGAGAAGAGAGTGAGGATACAAGAAGAAGGAAAGGGCAGGAGACAGATTTTTCGGTTTATCAAGAGGAAACCAGAGACTTCCAAACTATTCTTTTCGGCCCCATACATCATCCCACTGCCAGCATCTGATTCTTATTCTAAACAACTTCACACCAATTAGAGGTTTACGCATGTACGTGGAGAAATCCATGACGTCACTGAGAACCTTGCTGCCACTAGTCGGCCACATGATGCTCACCTTTGTACTCTGCCAGGCACACGCACTCATAGCTGTTGACAAGGTCCCTGCAGGTGGCAGCGTTCAGGCACGGGGCAGAGAGGCACTCGTCGTATTCCTCCTCACAGTAGAGGCCATGGTAGCCTGAGGGACAGAGAGAAAGGTCTGCGGTCAAACAGGTACCATTTATACGCACACCGGACCAGTCTACAAGGAAGGCGGTGGGTGTTCATTGGAAAGTCAGGCACAAATAGATGCGATTGAAGGAACTGGGTCTCCTGGGGTATGCTGAAATGTGGATTTCCAGGAAGGCTATGACGAATCTATTCTTATCACCCTTTGTCATGATCCCAACTATAAAAGAAGTGATCCCACTGATCCACCAGATGGTCCCATTATTATGTCACATCCAGTGGTACCCGTGAACAGGAGATGTGGGTTACTAAGTGCATCAGCTGTGGTCACAGAAGGTAGCAATAGGGACAGGACTCGTAGCCAAACAGCTCCTTTCAAGGATGTGGACCCCTTTTTCTTGCAATCAATTAGAAAAATATATCTAACTAGGGAGAATTTTATTCAAGAAGAAAAGGATCCACGGATTTCCTTTGTTTTTCAACCCAGAAAAGAAACTCAGCTAAAAAGGCCTAACTGAACTTCCTGGCGAAATGTGGGCTGTTTTTCTTTTTGTTTGTTTGTTTATTTAAAATGACAATTATCTAAATTATAATATGGTAAGTTGTGCTTAAGTTCTTTAACTATTAAAAATAGAATAATAGCAATGAAGAAAAAGAAACCAATGATTTCTCAAGAAAGATGGCTTTTACTCTCCTTTTTGCAAAACAGGTGTTTATTCTAAAGGACAAGAAGACAACATTCTTTGAGATTCACTCATGAGTGTTAGGCTGTTTTTAACTTTCAAAAACACGTGTTCCTGCCAATTTGCAGTGAATCTGGGCCATTTTTGTCTGGCCCTGTCCAAACAATGAGAAACATGTGAGCATTTTCAGATATCACCCTGCTTATGTTGGTTCTGAATTCAGATAAGCAGAAAAAATAAACGCTTGCTCAAGTGGGCACTGGAACCGTGAGCTCCTATCCAGCAACTCAGAGCCAGCCCTCGAGCTCAGAAAGTCCTGTTAGCTCAGGCTAATGTGCTGAACTGTTCTGTTTCTGGTTCCTATCACAAAAGTAGGTTAAGATCACATTTGCATTATTTCCAGAGCACTTTTCAAGTACATTGCCATTTCAGTTGTTTTTGAACTGCTTTCCACATTTAGGCAGTGATTAGTGGCCCCTCTGAGGGGAACTTGACCTTCCTGAGGCAAACACACTAGGGATTTCCATTCTTCTATCTTCCCCTACTTCTTGTAGTTTTGCGGAAATATTTCCTATCACTCTTCATCAGATTATTTCAATCATCTAGATCAGAGTTTCTCAACCAACAGCAATTTTGTCCCCCAGAAGATATTTGGCAATGTTTGGAGACATTCTGGGTTGTCACAACTGGGGTGGAGGGGAAGGGGTTGTTACTGGCGTCTGGCATAAGGATGCTGCAAACCATCCTTCAATGCACAAAACAGCCCCCCAACAAAAACCTACCCAGCAAAAATGTTAATAGAGTTAGACGGAGAAACCCTGCTCTAGATCAGGGATCAGCAAACTGTGGTCCACAGGCCAAATCTGCCCCAGTCTGTTTTTATAAATAAAGTTTTATTGGGACACAGACACACCCATCCAAGTACGTATTATTTATGGCTGCTTTCATACAATGGTAGATTGAGTAGTTGCAACAGAGACCATACGGCTTGAAAAGTCAAAAATCTTTACTCTCTGACCGTTTATAGAACAAGTTTGCTGTCTTGATTTAGATTCATCCAGAAAATCTTTTTTCTTACAAGAGTTTTAGATATTAACCCCTTATCAAAGACATGGTTTGCAAATATTTTCTCCCATTCTGAAGGTTGCCTTTTACCCTGTTGATTGCTAATTGCTGCGCAGAAGCTTTTTAGTTTCATATAGTCCCACTTTACTTTCGCTTTTGTTGCCTGTGCTTTTGTTGTCATATCATTGCCAAGACCAATTTTATGAAGGTTTTCCCCTATATTTTCTTTCAGGAGTTTTACAGTTTCAGGTGTTAGGTTTAAGTCTTTAATGCACTTCGTGCTGTTTTTTGTCAATTGTGTAAGATAATATAAATGGCCAACAGGTATATAAAAAGGTAATCACTAATCATCAGGGAAATGAAAAGCAAAACCGCGAGGAGATATCACCTCACAACTGTTAAGATGGCCATAATAAAACGAAACAAAACAAAACAGAAAATAACACGTGTTGTTGAGGATGTGGAAAAATGGGAACCTTCATATACTGTTAGTGGGAATGTAAAAGGCTGCAGCTGCTACGTAAAACATAAAAAAAAGTATAGAGATTCCTCAAAAATTAAAAATAGAATTACCATATGATCTATAATCCCACTTCTGAGTATTTATCCAAAAGAACTGAAAATAAGATCTCACAGAGATATTTGCATTCCCATGTTCATTGTGGCATGATTGACAATAGCCAAGGGGTAGAAACAATCTAAATGTCCCTCAACAGATGAATGGATAGAGAAAATGTGACATATATACATACAATGGAATATTATTCAGTCTTTAAAAAGAAGGAAATCCTGTCATATGCTATAACATGGATGAACCTTGAGGTCATGTACTAAGTGAAATAAGCCAGTCACAAAAGGACAAATGCTTCATGATTCCAGTCATATGAGGGATCTCAAGTAGTTAAAGTCATAGGGGCAGAATGGAATGGTGGTGTATATGTCAATATACACACTAATATGTGTAAAATGGATAACTAATAAGAACCTGCTGTATAAAAAACTAAAATTAAAAAATTAAATTAAGAAAAATAAATAAATAAAAGAAAAAAATAGAATGGTGGTTCCTGGGGTGGAGGGGAGGGGAAATGGGGAGCTGCTGTTGAATGGATATAGAGCTTCAGTTATGCAAAATGAAAACGTTCCGCAAATCTGTTGTACGACAATGTGCATATAGTTAACAATACTGTACTGTACACTTAAACATTTGTTAACAGGATAGATTTCATGTTATTTGGGTTTTATCATTATTTTTATTTTTATTTTTTTGGCCGTGCTGCATGGCTTGCGGGATCTTAGTTCTCTGAACAGGGATCGAACCCGTGCCGACAGCAGTGAAAGCATGGAGTCATAACCACTGGACTGCCACGGAATTCCCCTTATCACAATTTTTAGAATACACACACACACACACACACACACACACACACACACACACAAAGAGTTAAGTCTCTTTTGCCTTCTTCTCAGTGTGGAACAAGGGTCACCAGCAGCATCTTTTGGATCGTTCTGCCCTCCCAGCAGATCTTTCAAACGTCAACTTGGAAGGATAATATATAACCCTACAAGCATCTTCGACCTCCGAATTGTGGTGTTATTTATACAGACAAAAACCAAAAGCAAATTTCTTGAAATCTTCCACGACTGTTTTTATTTTTTGAAAACAGTATCATCATCCTTTTCCATTAGCAACATGAAAAGCAAGTGAGGAAGTTATTTTACAGAGATAATGAAGCTGACAAGGTTTTTCTTCCTTGGGGGAAAAAAATAAAGGTTTCACATTCTAAAAGTGTTTCTTTAGAGACGGTAACATTTAAATGTCTTTATGGAAATGTCAAGTCACCCTTTACACTGCCAAAGAACCTAAATCGGACTGTTTGAAGCAAAAGGAATCTCTTCCAAAACAGAAGGCTTCTGTGAAAATGAGACTGCCACCCCCTGCTGGTAATTAATTTGGACAAACAAATTAGCTCAGGGCAGCCCAGGGTCTAGAAAAATTAAGCTAGTCCAAAGAATTATTTTAAAATAAAATTGAAGATCAGAAGGGTGGGGTCAGAGTAGCCCCTGCTGGGGCACTGATTTTCATCACCAGTGTTCTGATCTTTGCAGGACTTTATCCTGAATATTCAACTCCAATCACTTCCTTAGACTTGAGAGAACAAAGCAACCAACTGGATGTGGGGAGTGAGAAAGAGAGGTTAAGACGGTTGCCATGTCTAGAATGTGTGAGTAGATGATGCTGCCGTGAACACAACTATGACCAAAGGAATAACAGGTTTTAGAGGAAGTTGCCCAGTTGGATTTTGGACACGGTTAACTTGGGGCTCACGTAGCCAGGTCCACGTGGCAGTTGGGAAAATGAGCTTGAATAGCATAGAAACAGCACTTTGGGAGCTAGATGCCTGGAAGTGATGTTGAAGTTTTCATCAAAGAAGAACATGGAGAGGAGAAAAAGAGACCAAGATCGGATCTACGTGGATGGGCAGATGGACAGCAAGAAGCCCAATCGGGACTTGGAGCAGGGACGGAGGAAGGAGAGGGGGAAACCCCAAGGAGTGTGGTCATGGAAGCCAAGAGAGGGCAGGAAGCCGGGGAGGGCTGGTTAACAGTGTCAAAGGCTCTAAGAGCAAGAATGACAACTGGATAGGAGATCAGGAGGTCACTGGAGACCCTCAAAACCCTGGCTCTCAATGGGGGCTGTACTGCCCTTTAGAGGCTGTTTTGGAAAATGGGGAGTAGGAAGGATTGCTTATCATAACGACTGGAGGATTCTACTAGAATTTGGTGGGTGGGGGCCAGAGATAGTAAACACCTTGAAACATCTGGGATTCCCTTGCACAAGTGATGGCCTGGCACCACCCTTCACAACTTTGGACTGTTCCACTGGCCATTCGGGTAGGCAAAACCCTGTTTACAACTTTCGAGGTCTAGAACCTAACTGCTTTACACGTACAACAGTTTTTAAGATATACTGAGTTTTCCTGGAACATATATATGTATATGTATTGATATACAATACATATACAATACAATACAATACAATACAATGCAAGAGAAGATTGTACTAAGAGTTGTTCCCCATTTTGGAATATCACTTCATAAGAGCAATAGCTCTTAAGGAGTTTAAGTCACCAGTAAAGCACACCTATATCGGCAAACAAAACAAAATAGAATAAAAATCACCTCTTCGGATAATTTTCTAAAAACACTATCCAGAGTACCTTCCCCTAACAGTTACTCATTACAACACTCAATTGATTTCCAT